GGGGACACAGAGAAATGAAAAATCTCTGAGAAGACGGTTAGATAGTTGAACTTCTATATCAGCAATGCCCCTCCTGTCCAGCACCAAGTGCACAAAATATTTCCCTCCATTCACAACTTCAAATTATACTACAAGGTGATAATAATCAAAACAGCATGTTACTGCTATAAAAATGAGAAACAGACCAATGAAATAGAATAGAGAACCCATAAATAAAGCCAAATACTTAGAACCAACTGATCTTTGATAAAGCATTTTAAGAAAAGACATAAATTGAGGAAAGGACACCCTATTCAATGAATTGTGAGAACACTGGATAATTCGGAAGAATAAAGCTGGACACCTATCTCATCATATACAAAAATCAACTCAAGATGGAGAAACGATTTAAATGTAAGACTTGAAACCATAAAACATCTAGAAGAAAAGCTGGGAAAAACACTTCTGGACATTGGCCTAAGCAAATAATTCATGATTAGAACCATAAAAGCAAATGCAACACAAACAAAAATAAATTAATAGGACCTAATAAAACTAAAAAGTTTCTGCACAGTAAAATAAATAATCAGAGTAAACAGACAAACCACAGAATGGGAGAAAACATTTACAAAGTATATATCTGATAAAGGACTAATATCCAAATCTATATGAAACTCAGCCAAATCAGTAAAACAAATAATCCCATCAAAAAGTGGTCAGAGTACATGATAGACGTTTCTCAAAAGAAGATGTGAAAATGTCCAAAAAAACATATAAAAAATGCTCAATCATCAGGGATATGCAGATTAAAACCAAAATGAGATACCATTTTACCCCAGTTAGAATGGCCATTATTAGAAAGTCAGAAAACAATAGCTGTTGGCATGGATGTGGTGAAATGGGAATGCTCATACACTGCTAGTGGGAATGTAAATTAGTGTAACCTCTATGGAAAATGGTATGGCTGTTTCTTAAAGGTATGGATATTACTCTATTTCTAAAATTAGATCTACCATTTGATCCAGGAACTACCCACTTCTTGATATCTATGCAAGGGAAAATAGGTCATTATATCATAAAGACACCTGCACACGTTTATTTTAGCACAATTCGTAATTGCAAAGACATGGAACCAACCTAAGTGCCCATCAACCAAACAGTGGATAATAAAAATGTGGCATACATACACCATAGAATACTACTGAGCCATAAAAAAGAACAAAATAATGTCTTTTGCAGCAACTTGGATGAAGCTGGGGGCCATTATGCTAAGTGAAGTAACTCAGGAATGGAAAACCAAATACCCTATATTCTCACTTAGAATTTGGAACTAACCTATGGGTATGCAAAGGCATACTTAGTGCTAGACGTGGGAGACTCAGAAGCAGGGAGGGTGACAGTGAGAGGAATAAAAAACCACTTACTGAGTACAATGTACACTACTCAGGTAGCAGGTTCACTTCAATCTCTAACTTCACCACTGTACAATTTGACTGCGTAACAAAAAAACCACTTTTACCCCAAAAGCTATTGAAATAAAGAAATACACACACACACACACACACACACACACACACACACAATATGTAATTTTATTTTAAAAAATTGATTGCAAAAGTTTCTGTTCTAATAAAAAAGAAAAGTATAAAATAGTTTAAAACAAAAAGAAAACTTTCCAAATCTTGAAATAAATACACAGGTATAGGAACATGAGAGAACAGCACACAGTTTAAATCTAAGTAAGATTATTGCCAGGACATATAATAATTAAATTCTCAATGGTCAAGGACAAAGAAAAATAAAAGCTGCTAAAAGCAGCAAAAGAAAATAAGCAAATTGGCCAGGTGTGATTGCTCATGCCTGTAATCCCAGCGCTTTGGGAGGCCAAGAAGGGTGCATTACTCGAGGTCAGAAATTTGAGACCAGCCTGGCCAACATGTGGAAACCCTGATTCTGCTATAAATACAAAAAATAGCCAGGAGTGGTATTTTTCAGATGAAGAATAATAAGCCGACATTATTTTTCATTGAAAGCCTGTAGTAGCCCCTCTATATGTGCTTTTGTGAAATGACAGTCCATTATCCACAGAACCAGGGAGTTTTAAAAGATGTAAATTAGATCCTGTCATTCTCTTGCTCCAGAGGTGTCCAGTGTTTTGGCTCCCCTGGGCCACATTGGAAGAAGAATTGTCTTGGGCCACACATAAAATACACTAACATGATCGATAGCTGATGAGCTAAAAAATATTGCAAAAAAATCCCAAAATGCTTTAAGAAAGTTTACAAATTTGTCTTGGGCTGCATTCAAAGCCGTCCTGGGCTGCACGTGGCTTGTGGGCCACTGGTTGGACAAGATTGCAACCTTACTATAACTCCCTTTTCCGCTAAGAATAAAATCCAGATTCCTTTCTATACCCTGAAAGGCTCTACACAATCCAACCCCCACCAAGCTCTTGCCCAAATCCTGGTTACTCTCTCTCCATCTTGCTCAGCCCGCTTCATATTCTGTCACTTTCTCAGGTCTAGGCAATCAGAGTGATAAATCAAACACTGATTTGTAGCACTTGCCAATTTCTGTGGTGTAAATACTCCTAGATAGCAACATGATACCACTGAAGGTGAAGCTGGTTAGAAATGTGCAGTCACACTCCATTATAAATATTTCCACCATACAGAAACAGTAGGTGTAAAAAAAAAAAATCTCAGAAGTGTAGGTCATAGTAAAAATGTAACATAACTAATGATAAGTGTTGAGTATGTATTACCTTTTTTTAAGTAAAATGTATTTATTTGTAAGTTTACATAACTTATTTTAAAATAACATCTGTGTTTAGTAAGTAGCTCATAAATCTCCTGGAAATTTGACAATAGGCTTTCACAAATGGGCTCCAGCAATCACTCTATGTACCCCGGATGTCCTCAAACACTTTTCCTTGGATTCACATATTTATGCGTAACCAAGAAAATGTCTGTATGTTTTGTTCCTTGAGTTTTAGCCCAGACCTTTCTGGCGCTAAAAGTGTTACTTTCCCTGGAGCCTTAGGAGATAGGTTAATTTCATTATGTTACCTTTCTCTCATGGGAAGTGGTTTGGGTCTGTTTTGGCTCCTGCATCGTCTTTCCTTAGTGATAATTCTGAAGCTAATTGGTTATCTTCCAAGACTGAAACAGAAACTCAGTATCTCACTTTGTCTTCCAAGTATGCATCTGTGTCTAAAAGTATGCAAAGAAACAGGTGTCTGTTCCCTGCGGGGTCCTGCAGACATCTATGTTTATTACACTAACATTGTGTTCTTCCCTGAATTTACCTGTGTGCGCCCACAAGGCTGTTTCAGTACCAGCTTGTTTTATGTCCCTTTGTTTAAAATTCTTATTTCTGAAATGTTGTTTGAATTTAAACAAACTAAAATTGTTTGTGGTTGATTTTAACTCTTACTTATTTGCCCTACCTTAGGGACTTTGTCTTTCTCATAATTGTATGCCCAGCCCCTAGTACATTTCCTGGCATGTGGTAAACACTTAGAAAATATTGAATAAATGGATGATTGCATCTTCTTCCATGTTCAAAACTAAACAGTTTCTAAAAAAATCAGTTGTTCTCCCTGACTTTCCTGTTTTTTCTTCCTAAGGGTACCACTCATCTTTTGGTTACCAAAGCTCAAATCCTGAGTTTTCTTCTGAGCATCTTTCTTTCAACCCCAGTTGTCACTAGTCTTGGTTAAGTGTCCCAACATGTGTTCTCCCTTGGTCCCTGTAAATTCTTTCGAACTCTGGCATTGGCCCATCTCAGAGCCTTATCATCATTGACTGGGCTACTGTGAACTCTATTCTAATTAGTTTTCCTACCTCCAGTCTTTCTTCACATTAATCCATCTTCCTGGTGTCAGAGGAACCCTCCTGAAGCAAGGCCAGATCATGTCACATCATTTAAAATAGACCAGATGACTCTGACAGCATCAGGATAGAATCCAGATTCCCTCACGTGCCACCCAGGCCCTTCCACAATCTGGCCTCAATCTGCCTGCCCACCCTTCCTGCACAGCAATTTCTTCCACAATTAAGAAGAAATTCACCTGCCCATGTCTCCCAGGTGAATTTCTCAGAGCACTGTTTCCTCAGAAAGTAATGGAGGTTGCACTGAACACATTTCCCATGGCCAAATAAGCCGGAGGGCAATTCTGGCCTAAACAGAGCTGGTGAGACTTCTCAGAGCCTAAGTATGCAGAAAAATAAGACCCAACAATATGTTGTTTGGGGCACATAGTTAGCAAAACTTTAGAGAAAAACAATGGAATAATGAATACAAAATTGAAGGCAGCAATTATCTTGGATGGAAAGGAGAGAGGTGTGATCAGGGAGGGATATACCAGTGGCTCCAATGATATTAGAAATTGTTCCGTATCTTTTTTGAGACGGAGTTTCGCTCTTGTTACCCAGGCTGGAGTGCAATGGCGCAATCTCGGCTCACCGCAACCTCCGCCTCCTGGGCTCAGGCAATTCTCCTGCCTCAGCCTCCTGAGTAGCTGGGATTACAGGCATGCGCCACCATGCCCAGCTAATTTTTTGTATTTTTAGTAGAGACGGAGTTTCACCATGTTGACCTGGATGGTCTAGATCTGTTGACCTTGTGATCCACCCGCCTCGGCCTCCCAAAGTGCTGGGATTACAGGCGTGAGCCACCGCGCCCGGCCCCTTGTATCTTAAGGAAGGTAATGGGTACACGAGTGTGCGCTATTATTATTTGATTTTTGCATTTTAACATCTCTGAAATCAGGATAGGTCTACAATCACCGATAGTCAGGTGACAGTTGTGCTGTCGTTGTCTTTACCTTAGAAACGTCATCGCTGATTTATTTCAGTTGTGTTCTCCTTTTTTTATTTGCATACAGAGGAGTGTCATAAGGCAACAATCTAAGCCTGAAAGATCTCTTTCGTTAAGTATAAAATAAAAATCTAAATGGCAAGAAAATAACTCATCTATGAGTTTATAACAATATCTACACTCTTTTTTCGTAACTATAGGGTCTTCAGGGCTGAAGCAGTTTTCCCACAACCTCCTCCACTGTTATAGTCAATGTTCATGATACAGACGATTGCTTCAATATCCAGCTCAGTGTCTTCCACCTAGTAAGTGCACACTAAATACTATTGATTGGATTTCCAGTGACTGTATTAATAGTGAACTCAAATGATTTACTAATATTCTTCACCAAATCTGGTCATTTCCGAAAAGTAGAAACAATGAAAAAATAAACAAACCAAGAATGGTGATTGGAAAGCCCACTTTGATAAATGTCTGACTTGCTAAGACAATCCATATTTATGTGCTAACAGGAAAGAGCTACCAGAAGTCTTAAACTCGTGTTGATGTTACTCTTCTCTGAACTCTCTCTGTGCTTATGATTTTTATATGATGTGCTTATGAGTTTTTTTTTTTTGAGATGGAGTTTCACTCTTGTTACCCAGGCTGGAGTGCAATGGCACGACCTCGGCTCACCGCAACCTCCGCCTCCTGGGTTCAGGCAATTCTCCTGCCTCAGCCTCCTGAGTAGCTGGGATTACAGGCATGCGCCGCCATGCCCAGCTAATTTTTTGTATTTTTAGTAGAGACGTGGTTTCACCATGTTGATCAGGATGGTCTCGATCTCTTGACCTCGTGATCCACCCGCCTCGGCCTCCCAAAGTGCTGGGATTAGATGTGCTTATGAGTTTTATATGGTGTGCCATGTAGTGAATTTTGTCTTCACAAATTACTTCTGTTCTTAACATAAAAATCAAGGTAAGAATGTTGGTTTGACCAGTTGTAGGTTCAGTAACACTGGATCCAGCTTTCCAGGAGATGCCCAGAATCTCCATATGACCAACTATGGACCTGTAAGATTCACATAGTCACTACCTATTCCGATCATCACTTTCCGTGAAGACCCAAATCTCGCATTATGTTTTAATAGAATCAACCATCACCTTGCAGTCTGTCTTACTGTTGACTTTTATTTTCATTTGCACATTTTCCCTTTTATGAAAGGGCTACTCCTTTTCCTCGGTTCGCTTGTGATCTTTAGTTTTTTATTACTTGCTTTTCTTGCTGTTGAACAAGGTTTAAATTGGATTACTGATCTAAAATATTCATTTTGAAAATTACTTCACAAAAAATTAAAAGATTAATAGTTGATGCTTTCAACTGTGGTCTTTAGTGAGAGCCAAATGGTATTAAAGTGTGTTCTTCATTGTCTGTTTGTTCTAAATAATATCTATTAGTATGATTAGTACCAATATTTAAACTAACTAAAGAAGCAATTTTGCTCTGTTGCCCAGACTGAAGCACAGTGGAGCAATCATAGTTCATTGCACCCTTTACCTCCTGAGCTCACGTGATTATCCCACCTCAGTCTCCCAAGTAGCTGGGCCTACAAGTGCATGCTACCATGTGTGGCTAGTTTTTAATTTGTTTTTGTAGTGGTAGAGTCTCACTATGATGCCAGGGAGTTCGCTGGGCTCGAGTGATCCTCTTGCCTCAGCATCCCAGAGTGCTGGGATTACAGCCATGAGCCACTACCAGGGGCTATGATCTGTCCTTTTCTGTTGCTCACATACCACCGTAGTGCTAACCACTTGCTGAGTTCTAGTTCTAATCATTCATAGGGTAGGGACTTCGGGTACTATGTTCTATTGCTAAACTCTGGCTTTTGCACTGTGAAAGTGGAAGACTATTTGGAGGTGGAACAAGTGAGTTGCAATCTTTACATATCTAAACCAGGACCAGAAATCCTGGATTGCTGCATTTGCCATTTGTTCTTAAAAATAATAAATCCTAGAACATATTTTATTAACCTAAGTTATTACATATCAAAAATTAAATCTTCCCGAGACAAATAAAATAAATGAAAAGTTAATTTTGAATGTAGCTTATTTCAAAAATTACACTTAAATCTGTAGCTGAGAATAATTTCCTTTAGTGAAGAAGACATAATTTAAATGTAAAATTTTAGAATGAAAAACTTCTTATAGATTTAATTCCTTCTCATTTTAGAACAGAGTTAAAATTGCTTCTTTGGTTAATTTAAATATTGGTACTAATCATCCTAATAGATATTATTTAGAACAAAAAGACAATGAAGAACAAGCTTTAATACCATTTCACTGTCTCTAAAGACCACAGTTGAAAGCACCAACTATTAATCTTTCAATTTTTTGTAATTTTCTAAATGAATATTTTAGATCAGTGATCCAATTTAAACCTTGTTAAATAGCAAGAAAAGCATGTAATCAGAAATAATTCCTCTGCCACATTTCAGCATTAAAGTCGAGGCCTTTTGCAAAGCTTTGAAAAGTATTTGAAAATTAGCTCATTATATTTTTTTAAAAATTCTTTCTTTTTTTTTCTTGGCATATACATGTTATATGTCACTTTCTCCCTGAGAGCTTTTGTAATAGAAAGTCCTCAATGTGTTTGAAATAAAAAATTCTAGGTAATAAAATTTTATTTTCTTTTTAAGGATATGCTGAAAGTCAGAAAGGGTATTAAAGCTTCAAACCACGCAAAGAAACCTCCAAATATTTCCATTAAGAAGATTAATAATTTTCACTGCATTCATCTGGGAAAAAAAAAGCCAATGTTAAATTAATCAGCCTGGCAGTTGTTTTGAAAGGGTAATGTCTTCTGAACAGCCTATTAGAAGAGAGATGCGATGCAGACTTGGAGGTTCAGCATCTGGAAGCCCTCCAGAGCGTCACACTGAGGAGCCATGGAGTAGGTTTTTGTGGCGTAGAGCCCTGGAATTTTTGTAAATTTTAACTTGAGTGCCCAAAGAGCTGTGGCTATCTATGATTTCAGAGACAGCTCACAGGGTGCTCTATGATCTAGAAAGCTTGAACCCTAGTTCTCATGGAGATCATCAGCTCCACGAAATTAGCTGGAGAATTCTTATGGTTGCAGAGAAGGAGGGCAATTGTCAGGGTTTGCTAATCTGTATTCTATAATAATCTGTCTATTGGTCAGGATTCTCCAGAGAAACAGAATTCAGAGGAGATGCACACACAGACACACACACACACAGTTACACACACACACACACACACACACACACACACTGTACTATAAGGAATTATCTCAAGAAATATAGAAGCCAAGAAGTCTTAGAATCTACAGTCTGGGCAAGCTGGCTATTCAGAAGTACAAATGGTTTAGTTCCAGTTCAAGTCCAAAGGCCTGAGAACAAGAAGAGCCAATGACATAGGTTCCAACCTGAAAGCCAGAGGCTCCAGACCCAAGAAGAGCCCAAGTTTTAGTCTATGCTTAAAAGCAGAGAAAGATTGATATCTCACCTCAGGCATTTTTTGTTCTCTTCAGGTCTTCAACTAACTGACACCCACCCACAGTGGGGAAGGCCATCAGCTTTACTTAGCCTACTGATTCAAATGTTAATCTTATCCAGAATGATGTTTTCCCAAATGGCTGGGCACCATAGGTCCAGTCAAATTGACACAGAAAATTAATAATCGCAATCTGATAGCTTTTCTCACATTGCCTAAAAGATGCTGAAACTACCTGTGATACATATAATTTTAAAGGCAAGATTTAAAAGAATTAAAAGCAGGGCTTTATGTGGAACTATTAATATTTCAGACTTGGAAGAATTTTTTTTTTTTTTGAGTCATAGTCTTACTCTGTTGCCCAGGCTAGAGGGCAGTGGCACAATCTCAGCTCACTACAACCTCTGCCTCCCGGGCTCAAGCAATTCTCTGCCTCAGCCTCCTGAGTAGCTGGGATTACAGGTACCTGCCACCATGCCCGGCTAATTTTTGTATTTTTACTAGAGACGAGTTTCACTATCTTGGCCAGGCTGGTCTTCAACTCCTGACCTCGTGATCCACCTGCCTCGGCCTCCCAAAGTGCTGGGATTACAGGTGTGAGCCAACACCGCTTCTGGCCAGAAGAAATCTTTGAAATTTCGAGTACAACTCTTTCATTTTATCTTCATAAAGATGACTCTCTTGGGGTCTCTGAGGTAATGAGAGGCCATGCCGGTTCCTGGCCTCCTGTTCTTAGACACGAGCTTCTTCTACAGTCCATGTAACCCCTCTCAGAGTCAAGGAAGGCATCACCCGAGGGGAGGCTTGTTTTCTCCTTCATCTGCTTCTGCTCTTTATTCTGCTCCTCTCCTCACCTACCCCAGACTCCTCCTCCAATTGTTCCTCTTCCTTTTCTCAGTCATTGTCTTACTCTTCCTGTTTCCCCTCTTCCTCTTCTCTTTCTCCAACTTTACCTCTTCTTCTTTCTTTTCTTTCTCTTTCTCCTCTTCCTACTCTGTCTCCTTTCTTTTGGTGTGGATAAACTTAGTAAAGAGGTTTCCGAAGGTTGTTCTGTCTTCAGCTTGAAGGTGAAGACATCATCTCCCTGTGATGGCTCCTCTTTTGAGCCATGCTCCCGGAGACATAATCAAAATAAGAGTGTACTTGAGGACTTGGAAACTGCATGTGTCATGCCCCTTTGGACGACACTTTACCTCTTATAGGAGAGATTGTTCAGGGCATTTGCTCAGTAAGATTCACATTTAATTAGTACATCCTGTATGTTGGGTAGTATGTTAGGCACTTCAGCTCAGGTAAGAGGCAGAGAGAGGTCTGGAAAGGTCTATTATAAAAAGGTAGTAAACTTTTAATCATCTCTTCAGCAAAAGATGTAAAAATTACGGACTAGAAATAATAACAGTGCCTAGATAAATTTTTCAAGTTTCGTATTATCTCAATGTTTGGTATTAATTAATTTCATTTTTTATTATTGCACTTATTGTGTTGTTATTGCATCTTTGACTACATTCATGAATTCACTTGTTTATTCATTCAACTACTTACCCAACTATCTAACATTTACTTAGTTTCTACTCTGTTCTGGGCATGTATTAGTAAATAAGACAGAGTTTTCTCTCAGAAGGAGATAACATAGCATAAAGACTAAGAATTTTGACTCTGGAATTGGATGGATGGTGTTTGAGGCACAGTTTTTGTCGCTCGCTTAGACTATCTTTCTAGGCCTAGTTTGCTCGTGTGTAAAGTGGGGATTAATATGACTCTGGCGAAGATGAAAGGCGTTTTAGGAGTGCTTGGCACATAGTAAGCACTCATGGATGTTCGTCATTGTTATTACTGACAGCTGGCTCAGAGATTTATGGACGTAAACCAATAGAGAACAGTGTAGCAAACGTCAGTGCAAGGAAGCACTTTGCCCCAGCTAGAGAGGTCACCAAAGTCTTTCTGGAAGACATGGCACTTGAGTCAAGATCAGAGGCAGAATAGCAGCTACCTGACAAAGAGACTAGAAAAGGATATTCCAGGCAAAGGGAACAGCATGTACAAATGCAGTAGGCTATAAGAACTTGAAGCAGGTGTATTAGTCTGTTCTCATACTGCTATAAAGAAATATGTGAAACTGGGTAATTTGTAAAGAAAAAAGGTATAATTGGCTCATGGTTCCACAGGCTGTACAGGAGTCATGGTGCTGGCATCTGCTCAGCTTCTGGGGTGGCCTCAGGAAAACTTACAATTACGGTGGAGGGCAAAAAGGGGTCAGCGTCTTAAATGGTCAGAGCAGGAGGAAGCGGGGGGGTGGGCAGGGAGGTGCCACACACTTTTAAACAGCCAGATCTCATGAAAACTCTATCATTAGAACAGCACCAAAGGGGAAATCCACAGCCACGATCCACTCACCGCCCGTAAGACTCCACCTTCAACACTGGGATTACAATTTGACATGAGATTTGGGTGGGGACACAGAAGCAAACCATATCACAGTGCTTGAAAAAGAGCACTAAAGCAGAAAGGTTTTATTTATTAAATGGCAGAAGCAGACTCGGTAGGGGTCAGTTTGAGGTAGGACAGTTCAATCACACGTTTTATAGATGAAAATACTGAGGCCCGGCTGCCTTGATTGAACTGAATAGACTAAGGTCAAAAAGCTGGTGAATGAGAGCACTCATTTACACAATAGCCTCCATCACCAGTGCAGAGCTGGTGTGGGGGAAGAGCCTGCTGTAAGTGTACATGCAGGAGGCAAGAGTTTGTGTAGAGAAGTTCGCATCAGCAGCTATGTCTCTCTATGACTTATACTCTCTTTCTTAACTCGCTATGTATTAAGGCTATTAAAGCAAGCATTTTGGGGTGTATTATTGCTAGAAGCCTATCTTAATCCATTTTGTGTTGCTATAACGGAATACCTGAGGCTGAGTAATTTATAAAGGAAAGAGGTGTATTCATCTCACAGTTCTGCAGGCTGGAAAGTTCAAGAAGCATGGCACCAGTGTCTGCTCAGCTTTTGTGGAGGGCTTTTGTGCTGCATCAGAACATGGTGAAGAAGAGCAAAGGGGAAACAGACACCTCTGAAGAGGGCCTGAACCCGAGGTGTGTTCGGATTTGTAACAACCTATTCTTGAGGGAACTAATGCATTCCTTTGAGAACTAGTCCTGTCTTGCCAGAGTAACTCACTCACTACCACGAGAACAACACTAACCATTCATGAAGGATCTGCCTCTGGGATCCAAATACCTGCCACTAGGACCCACCCCCACAATACCCTTATATTGGGAATTAAATTTCAACATGAGCTTTGGTGGGGACAAACAAACCATAGCAAATATGTTAATGTTTCTCCTTCTCAGACCTCACCCACACTGTATACTCCCACTCCTCACTGCAGATCTAAGAACTGTCAAGTTGGTGCAAAAGTAATAGCGGTTCTGCCATTAAAAGTAATGGCAAAAGCTGCAGTGACTTTTGTACCAACCTAGTGTTTGCAAATTCCTAGCCGTATGATCTGGTCAAGATGAAGAAAGGGATCTGAAGAATTACTGATTTGAAATCAAGAAGAAATAAAGTCCAAGTCTAGGTATACTGTTTTGCATGTCCCAAGTTCTCATCATTAGTATTTATTTAGTCAATTAGTCAGTCATTCAACAAATGGAGCTTTCATCGACTCTGTGTCCTAGACCCTAGAGATACCATGATGACCAAGACGAACTGCCTCAACCCATAGTGATGGCAGGAATGTGACAAGTAAATAAGTGACTGCAGAACAGTGTGACAAACGTAATAATGGGGGCAGTCCACGCTGTTACGAGGTCTCCTAAGACAGACATTTATTCTGATCCAGAGCATCAAGAAGGGCTTTCTGGAAGCAGTAGTTTTACTATTGAGCTTTGAAATAAATAGAAGTCAGAAGTTAGTGAGCTGGAAAGAGCTGGTAGTTAGGCAAAGGAGGCCTGGGCCTGGAGGGAAGAGGCTGTAATTGAGGAATGAGAAGAGAGGCAGTGTGGCTGGAATGTAGGGGATTCATTCATCTCCAGAAAGGAGGCTGGAGAGATAAATAGAAGTCGGATATGAAGGGCCCTGTGAACCTGAGGAAGAAATGGAAAGTTCATTCTAGAAACACTGTGGGGTCATACAGCATTTATGCAGGGGAGAAAAAGACCAGACATTGGATTTTAGAAAGGTCCTTCCTGTTGCAGTGCTGTCACAGAAGAGATTGCCCTGACCAAGAGCGTGTGCAGGAATATCAGCTTGGGGACTTTTATAAGAGTGGCCCGAAAATGAAGGGAAGAGGAAGGATGGGAGTGACGATTAGCTTAATAACTGGGTGTGTGGGTGGATGAGAGAGAAATTATAGATAAATTGCACTCACCAGATGCTACTGAGTCTGTCTGTCTCTGGTAGTCCTGTTCACAGAAGCAGGGGACACTGCGGGGGCGGGGGCAGGTCTAAGGATAGAAATAGAATCAGAAGACAAAGGAGTGAGTTTAGCTTTAGACCACTTGAGTTTGAAATGCTTGTGGGTCACCCAGGTGTGTCTGTCCAGCATAAAGCTGGCCAGTGAAAATATCAGTGTGTGTATATTAACTTAATAACTAGTTATTTTATGAAGACACTCCCTAGATAAGAAAATCAGATTCCACTTAGGAGCTGGCTGGTTTCTCAGCACTCAAAGCAGTCCCAACAGGCTCTCATTGAGCTCAGAATGCGTAGCCAGGCACTGGGGGAACGGGGGAAGGAGGAGCAGAGAAAAATCTAGATGGGGCTGCTTATGTAAGGGCGCAATTCAGAGAGAAAGCCAGAGACACTTCAGAATCTCTTCTTCATGGCCATGGGAATAATAGTCAAATTGTTCCTAAAACACCCAGTTGCAGGAGTAGTAAATGAACTAATTTTGCGATAAGCTCAAAGGACACAGAAGCTAAGAACACTGGATTTTGAGCAGATAATTCTGGTTTAAAATCCTATTTCTGTCCCTTTCTATCTGACCTTAGGGAAATTACTCACTGTCTCTAAGCCTCAGTTTTTTTTATCTTTAAATGAAATGACACTACCTAGTTAGGTGTAAAAATACCTAGCTCATTGGATTGCTGACGGATTAAGTGACGTATTGTATGTGAAGTTCTGGCAAGTTTCAGTGTTTGTCAATAGTGAGCCCTCGATCTGTGGTAGTTACCGTTGCTGTTATGAGGCATCCAAGGAAGGCAGATATCCTCTTCATGTTAACTCTAGCAGCTGGGAGAAAAGGAGCAGGCAGCCACACCTATTCACATACATGCGTATAGAACATGTGACTATACACAAATTTATAGTAACAGAAGACCCTATTGTTTTCTTGCTTTAAAACCATAACCATGTAATTTTATGAAAATATGAAAGAAGAGTGCATCCCGTTGCTAAGTGATCTGCTCATGTAATTACTGGGGAAACAGATGGCCAATCAATAGTAGACAGCTAATTACTTTACAAATGGATTTAGTTAAAGATTGGAAATGATGATGAAAGTGTGTTGTCCTTATGTAGCGATATTAAGATGGTTCGTGGTCAATTATAATAAAATAAATCACATTGAAAAGAGCATCTTATTTCTACTTTTAAGGTAATAGGAAGCCATGGCTTGCTGGATTGTTGAGCCAAGCTTTGGAAGAAAAATGGAACCACTCATTGTGCTAGACAAATGCTTTCTTCTAGGCTACTTTTTCTTCCAAGGAAGATGAGCAATTGAAAAGTAATTATCTATCCATTCATTCTGCCAACCAACATTTAATGAACATCCAGCATTATCCTTTCATGCAAACTTCTTTCTTCCACACTCTACCTTCTTCTTCCACACTCTACCTTCTTCTTCCACTTTGCTCCTAAAATGTCCAAATGACCAGAAAAATGTAGAAGTGGGCACCTTGTGCACACACATGGCTAATGACAAGGTATATTGAAACAACCTTTTAAGAAAACAGCGTGCCTCTGTCAATCAAGCACAAAAACACTATGCTATTTGGTCCAAAAATCTTACCTCCTTGGAAACTTATGTGGAGAAACAAATTCAGCAGAAGAAAAAAGCAGCTTGTATGGAGATATTTACTGTAGAATCATTCATAATAACAAATTGGAAACAAATTATATGTCCAATGCTAAATAATAGTTAAGAATGACAATCCCATTTATTAATTCTACATAATATTATGCAGCTATTTATAATGTTTGCAAAGTCTTCCTAGAAATCTGAACAAAATTAATGATCTCATAAATAGGTAGTTTTCAAGAATTCACCGGTTCTGTGTTTATAGCTATGTGAAGAATAAATATAAAATATGAAAACGACTGAGAGAGAGCAAATAAAACTGAAGACAATTGTGTTAGAGTGCAATGTCTTTTTTTCAATATTTAACAACTTATTTTGATATTCTTTTATGATATATTAAATATGAATACCACAAAGAATTCTTCTGTATGTGGTCAAAATCCAAGATGGCACCTTGCCAACAGCATGGAAAAAGTCTTTCCTACCTTTAGGATTCAAGTAATCACAGAGAAATGAGTAGTTCTGTTTCTCCCTGTTTTGTCTCCCTTGTTTTCTGTTGTGAGAGGCATTTACAAGTATCTTGAATTTCTCTTGCTTATGAATTCAACTGCTGCGGCTTTTGCACAAACAGCCTTAATCCTTTGTTTGGCTTGTCACAGCTGCTACTGCAGGAATTCTGATGCCACCAGCAGAGGATTCAGGAGCTAAAATGAAGAGGTTTGGAAATGCCAGTACCCTTCCACCCTTCTCTGGATATAACCAACTGCATATATGTGCATATCTCTTTCTAGATATTTGTCCTATTAAACTCCAGCCTTGTTCAGTGTGTGGACCATAAGGTTTATCTAGTCTGAAAACATGCTCTGCATGCTCTAATTATTAGTACAGAAGAAAATAAATACACTCACTGATCAGAATATCCACTAGCAATGAAGAAGGAAAATGCTGCCATCCCTGGGGGTAGATTTCCATAATGTTCCTCACGCCCGTGCCAGAATTCTGTTTTCTTTTTCTTTCAACATCTTAGACCCTGATTTCCAAGGTCAGAATAGTTTCCCAGTCAGATCTGGGTAGGAAAGATGGAAGTCTGTGCCGGCTACCTTTATAAATCTTATGTGATTGTTATTTTAGTGTGATTAAATAAAGAAAACAGTGATTAAAATTATTCATAGTGATTCATATTAACATTATGAGGGAATAACTATATTTCTGTTTTTATTTTTTTGAGACAGTCTCACTATGTCACCCAGGCTGGAGTGCAGTGGTGTGATCTAGGCTCATTGCAACCTCCACCTCTGGGATTCATGTGATTCTCATGCCTCAACCTCCAGAGTAGCTGGGATTACAGGCGCACACCACCACTCCCGGCTAATTTCGTATTTTAAGTAGAGACGGGGGTTTCACCATTTTGGCCAGGCTAGTCTCGAACTCCTGACCTCAGATAATCCACCAGCCTCGGCCTCCCTAAGTGCTGGGATTATAAGTGTGAGCCACCACACCCAGCTGGGAATAACTATATTTCTAAGTGACAGAGCTTCATTATGGTTAGATGTCATGAGGAACATGCTCGCTTGTTGAAGATGCTTGGGTTGCAGGTGCCCCCCATTTGCATGCTGTATAGCCCACATCTGACCTTTGGAGCCCCTTCCTACCATCCGCCACAAACTGAACGGTGCAATTTCCAAAACTGTTTTCCTTAAGACTCAGGATTTGAAGAATATCATTTGAAAATCCCTTTAGAGATAGAAAGAAAGATGAAAAGAAAGCAATGGTCCTCTTGCTTGTATTCTGTTCAGTCCTCACTCCAGACAAAAATCACTGTCGGCCTTCGGTGACAGAAACAGATGTCTCAAAGAGGACTGGATCACACAAAGTCAGGCTTCACCTGGGTAGAAAGCATTCTGCATTGACAACCATCTGGGTTTCAACTAGATGAAATGTGATAATACCAAATATTGTCTCATAATCCTGGATGTTTGGCTAATAGTACCAGTGATGATTCACCAACTCCACTCATAGGGAGCAACTGCACACATGTATAGACGTATATGTCTGTGTGTGTGGATGTAGGCATGCGTGTATATATAAGCATGAGCATGTTTCTATGTTTATATGCATGTACACATATGTGTGTACATATAAGCGTGCATGTATGCATGTGTGTGTATGTGTGTGTGTGTGTGTATGTATGCATGTGTGTGTATGTGCATTAAATGTTTTTAGTTATATTCTCCAAATGCATTTTTGGTTGACATAACTGCCTACATGTCCAAGGTTACCGACATAATTTAACAAACAACAAATGTCAAATGTCAGAGTTATTATTTTGATTTTTTTTAATTAAAGATGTAATTTCTAAATGAGTGCAGGGGACTTCAGAAATATTAATGTGCTAAATTTCAAGTTCCTGAAACTTTAAAACTCAGAAAACAAGGGTGAGATCTTAGATATAAGCTCTTGTTTTCGGGCGCCTTAAATGTGAATGAATTGCAAGGCATTCAGGATCCACACGTCCCCAGCAAAGCCCTTGAGTCCTAAGACAGGATCACGAGCAAAGGCAGTTTCCCTGCCAGCACCCTCATTTCACAGAACGCGAGTGTAGCCCTTGTGTAGGTAAGTCTATGAGCGAGTCTGGAGTGTCTTGGCTTCTTGTGGGCCTCTTTATTGTAAACAGAGTAGACTTTTAAATAAATCAGAAAGAAAATCCGAGGCATGGAAAGGAAGGTTAGTCTGAAGTGCTCATTTTAGGACCCCGAATCTCACCAGCATCCTTTTATATTGCAGCACACACTGCTGTTTCCAGGACCTCTGCAGGATCTATTTCAATAAATTAGGATCTAAAGAGCCCTCCTGTTTCCTTAGAGTTAAGCTAATGATGCCAACAGTGCTGTTTTGTTTCCTGTAGTTGCCCTCTGTCCGCCTCATAAGGCCCTTTCTAAAACCTTTACATGCTGGGCCAAGCACAACCTGGTGGTCATGGCTCAGACACCATTTAATTTCCTTCTCAAACCATCTTGTTTTATGTAAGTTGACCTTTCCATGACTGTAAAATCTCCTCATTAGAAAATGACAGGCTCTCTGGGATTGGAAACCTTTCTCGATAACACTCTGTATAAAGGCGTCTGTGTAAGATTTTTCTCATTTAAAAATGAAAAGAGACCCTTTCATCCACTCCACCAGCAGCTTTCAGAGCACGCAGACAATCCATTTGAATTTTGTTAAAAAAAAGAAAAACCAGAAAACCTGTTTTTTTGTGGGGCAGCCAGTGGAGGGGGGTCAGAGATGGATCTGAAGGATCTGGTTTTAAGAACCTCAGAATCATTATCCACTCTATTTTCAGAGCACCCATTCTCTGTTAAGTGTGTAACATATGCCATTGCGAGAATTTCCTACAGCTCTGCAGGGTTTCTATTACAGTTGAGGAAACTTGGATTCAGAAAGGTCCAGAAGCTCGCCCAAGGTCATTGAGCAGGTGAGTGGCGGAGCTAGTGCTTAACCTGGGTCCTTGTGGCTCTGTTCTTTGTACTGCATCATTCTGCCTCTCAAGGCAATAATTTCTTAAAAAAAGACATTTCAGATAGCCATGCTGCAGATGCCTTAGCTTGCATAGAATACACTCTATTAACAACAGTTATTTGGACTGGAGAATTACTAGGGTTTTTGACCTCAGCAATTGGAGTACCTTTGCTACAGTACCAGCCCTGAGCCAGGCTGTTAGGATTCAAACCCTTTCATGGCCCCTGGCTGGCTGTGAGGTTCAGGATTGTCACTTCTCTGGAGTGAGGTCTCTTGAGCTGAAACATGAGTCCATATAACATAATACATTCCTCATAGCATTGCTGTGAGGCGTAAATGGGAGAATGCTTGCAAAATACTCTTGGGTAATTAATACAGCTGTTATTATTACCAAATAATAATAGCTGTTATTGTTACCAAAATGACACAGAAATGTTCCTGCCTCCCCTGCGCACCCGAAAAAATTGGGAGAACAAATCAACTTGTGACTTGCAAGAAACCTCAAATAATAGTGCCAGATGAAGAAGGCTGATATATAAGACTTGCCAGCAGTGGAGGGCATTGCGACAAAAACTGAGCCCGACAGGAAGGCCGAGGCTGTCACATCCCATTAGTCCAGAGCTGTGACTTCATGCTGACTCAGCCAAAGGCAGACAGTAATCACAGCCAAGTTTATATGCTCAGAATTGATGTGGCCTTATTTCCACATTCTCAGAAGCAAAGTCAAGAGAAAACGGCGATCAGAAAGTTTTTACGGGCCTCATCATGAAATGCTGAGAGCTTCAGTGTATTGATTTGCCTTTAGTTAACCTCTGTAATTCGAAGTGATCACCCCCGCCAAAAATGAAGGTATATCAAGAGAATCCTTTTTACCTTTTGGTCATTTTGAAACAAAGACCATGTCAGTTCTTCTTTATTCTATAGAGAGTAATTGATTTGGGGTGATGGTAAGTGTTCAGATGAGATTTCTGGAGGACATTTATCTGAGTCGTCCCAGACAATCAATATTGTTTATTTTAACGAGGTGATTGCGTCGCCCATTCAGAAATGCTGAAGTACATGCATGAGCGCAGTCAAAGCACTGTTTTCAATTATCTTTTTGTATTTCTAATTGGTAGAAATAAATTAGAAGACATGTATTTGACTACTATTCTGCACCAGCAAATCCATTTTTTTTAAATGGTGCTAATTGTGGTTGTCATGGAAACCCTGAAGGTAGTTAGGCTGATTGCTCAATCTATTTTTTTTTTCTTTGTAAGCCATTATTTCTTTGGCTGATACTGAAGTTCCTCCTCTAGAAAGCAATTACACATATGCTCACAAGACATTTACTCTGAGTTAAGATGCTCGATAAATCTGTTACACCAATTATATTTGTACTGTGGTTATGAGAATCAATATGGTGGAGATGTAAACTGATCACATAGAAAAGTGAATAAACCAGTTAGTTGCTTGTTTTTTTTTTCCTGAATGTAGTGATGTAATGCCTAGATGATTTTCAAAAACACTCTGCTTGCTTTAAACTTTTGGTATTATTTAATGTCTGTGTGTATGCTTTTCAAATGTCATTTTGCTGTACCTTTTCTGAAAAATGTCAAAATTATATTAAAGAGTCATGTCTGCTTCTTGTTAATCTTGTTGGCAGATTTCACAGAGTAAAAACATACATGGAGGATATAGGCTGAGGGAAAAAGCCTCAGAGTATAAATGGTCGTAGATAAAATACTAGACGCATCTTTTATTAATTGTGGGTACTCAACCTGGATTGTAGTCTTCACGTATAAACTGAGAGCCATAACCTCATCGGGTTGTTTAAAGATGAAGTGTAACTATACATGTCATGCTGCTCATATGGTGGTAGGCATATAAAAGATGCCCTAGACAGTTTACTCTTGCTCCTGCCTAAGGCTCCGTAATCAACTTTCCCTTCTGCACGTGTCCCCCACCGCCCACCCCCGCCACGACACACACACAGGGACTCACTCCGGGTTTCTGGAACTATGTGTTTGTGTTGAAGGGAGAGAAAGTTTGGCTAGCAGAACCTCAGCAAAGTTTTAATAACCTTACAGCATCCCCATGTTATGGGAAACGAGCAATGTCCTGGGACAAGCCTGACCTGGAAACAGAACCTTCCACAAGGATTAAAAAAGTTCCATCATGGCCGGGCGCGGTGGCTCAAGCCTGTAATCCCAGCACTTTGGGAGGCCGAGGCGGGTGGATCACGAGGTCAAAAGATCGAGACCATCTTGGTCAACCTGGTGAAACCCCGTCTCTACTAAAAATACAAAAAAAATTAGCTGGGCACGGTAATGCGTGCCTGTAATCCCAGCTACTCAGGAGGCTGAGGCAGGAGAATTGCCTGAACCCAGGAGGCGGAGGTTGCAGTGAGCCGAGATCGCGCCATTGCACTCCAGCCTGGGTAACAAGAGCAAAACTCTGTCTCAAAAAAAAAAAAAAAAAAAGTTCCATCACAATAACTTCCAACTAAATACCGTCTCAAGAAGTTTATTCTTCCAAACAATATCCTGTTGACTGGATGATTGAGTTGGGGCGGGGAGAGAACGCTTTACGAGCAATAGTCAGTGGTTTGCTCTTGCATGTGAGAGTTTTAGAATCTGTACAACTAAACCATTCCAACGTCCTTTCTCTGTCTCTCAGGCTGGAGTGCAGTGGCAGGACCATGCTTCACTGCAGCCTTGATCTCCCAGGCTCAACTGATCCTCCTGCCTCAGCCTCCTAAGTAGCTGGGACCACAGGGGCATACCACCACACCCAACTAATTCTTAAAAGTTTTTTGTAGAGATTGAGATGGCTGTTGCTATGTTGCCCAGGCTGATGTCAAATGCTTGGCCTCAAAGTGATCCTCCCACCCTGGCCTCCCAAAGTGCTGGGATTACAGGTGTGAGTGCCTGCACTCAGCCAACCAAACATTTTTAATGTAAAAATAGAGCTACTGTCTCAGCTCATTACATTGGTCCAGAATCTTTTTTCTTGGGATCATGAGATGCAGTCACCATATTGGTAGCATGTCCTTATCTTACTAAATCTTCCCTACTACATAGTTGGTTCATATTATGAGTCTTATTTATTTTAATTAAACTGAATATCAAGAGCAACTGTATGTTTGCAATGTACCTTGTATATGCCTCAGTTATAGCACTTACCACAGGGCATTATAATTGTTTGCATATATTTATCCCCCATAGAGTAAACAATTTAGAGATGACTGCTTTCTGTGAAACCAAACAAAACTAAAATTTGAAATCTTCAGCATCAAGTAAGTTAGGCTCTTCACTCTTTCAGTGATTATTTAATGAGCGTCTACTATTTTCCCTGTGCTGGACTAACTATTGGGAATTCAGGAGTGAATTTGGCAGACATGTTTCCTTCCTCATTAGGCGATGAAACTTGTGTCTACTAGAGCAGCGGCTAAGTGCTGCAGGCAGTGAATTTCCAGCTCTATAGCACTCAGTGGCTGCCTAACCAGCTCGGGACTGCCCAAGAGTCAAGCAAGGCTTCTGAAGGCAACAGCTTTGAAGCAGAGAACTGAAGATAAACAACTTAAAGGGTTAGGGAGAGTGTTCCAAACGGAGAGAAAAAAACAAACGTAAATGGACACAGTCAGAGGTCAGAGTGTTCTTGAGTTCCTGTGCCTACAAGTTCCTAGGGAAGGGTCTCAACCCCTGCATGAAACATACACTGGTGACATGGATTTGCCATTTTTAGGTAGGAGATTGCATTTTTTACATAAACTGCGGGATCTGCAGCTTGGGATCTGTGTTTCTTAGGCTGAGGTGACACCCCTGATGGTCCCTATGGTGCAGCCTTTCAAGATGATTTGACAGCAACACAGCAGCCTCCCCGTGCATCCTGGAATGGAGCCTTGGTAGAGAACAAAGACACCCTCTGGTTTTTTTTTGTGAGATTTTGGTTTGCTTATCTGTTCCTCCAGACTTCAGACATATTTTGGTTTCTCAAGGGGTTGCTCATTCAAATGCCAAGTAGGCAAGGATTTGATTTTCAATAAGGTGCGATAGGGACATGTAAAATTAAGGGAATTACAGGAGAGAGGATGGTGTTTGGAGTCTGGTCAGAGAAATCTGGTTTTGTCTCCTGACTTCTGCTCTCAGGTCTAAGTGAACTTCGGCACGTTCTTCTTTCCCTCTGTTAGGCAGGGATAGGAACACCTGCCCACAGGGCTGCAGGAAGATGGAGTGAAAATGACGCTCATTACCTGTTTAACGTGGTGCCTGGCATCATCTGTAAGTGATCATTAAGAAAGAGAGTAATCTTTAGAAGCCTCAGCTTTATTTTTTTTTAACTGATGTATTTTTCTTTGTTTTTCATTTTTTGTTTTTTTAAAGCAGATTTATTGGAACATAATTAACAAACCATAATATTCATCCATTTTAAATGTAGAACTCAGTGAATTTTAGTGTATTTAGAGTTGTGCAATCAACACCACAATCTAATTTTAGGACATTCCCATTATCCTAGAAACTGAGTATTTGGATTTCCTCTTTTGTGTTTATGAATTCTAAATTACACTCAGGAAATATTCAATTTAAGACCCGAGATAATCATCATATTTACTTACTATGTCATATCTCATGATATTGTGATAATTATCATCAAGGATGTTAATTCTTTTTTTTTTTTTTTTGGAGATGGAGTTTCGCTCTTGTTACCCAGGCTGGAGTGCAATGGCGCGATCTCGGCTCACCGCAACCTCCGCCTCCTGGGTTCAGGCAATTCTCCTGCCTCAGCCTCCTGAGTAGCTGGGATTACAGGCACGCGCCACCATGCCCAGCTAATTTTTTGTATCTTTAGTAGAGACGGGGTTTCACCATGTTGACCAGGATGGTCTCGATCTCTTAACCTTGTGATCCACCCGCCTCGGCCTCCCAAAAGTATGTTACAACTTTAGATAATTTACTTGTTGATATTATTAATAAATGTTAAATGGTCTTTATTGTACAAACAACATTTAATGATGACTGGTGATTGTTATGCAAATACGTTTTAAAAGTCTTGTCATCAAACCTTTGGGAAAAAATATGTTTTCTTGTGTTGTTATGGAAAAGTAGCTAGTCAGATAATCTTGAATATGTTACTAGTGTGCTCATCTACCCTGTGTTAGCCAGACAGACTCCATTTTGCTAAGAGTCAGACAGAGTCCATTTTAACCTCTGCCTCACCCCTCCCGTCATTTCTCCTTTGAGTGCATATCTGGGTCGTGTTCCTGTGCTGGGTCTTGTTGTACTTAGAGCTATAGCAACATATCACCGTTGTAACCCTATCCGGCTTGACAAGCCCACTTACCATTGTGAATACCCCCTTAATTGATGGTATGGAAAGTACCGAATGCCCCCCCGCCACTTGGTAACCAGCAATCATGGGAACCACTTGTGTATCATCTTAGTTAATCAACAATCATGGGAGCCACTTGCCTCCTAGTTAACAGCCTCCTCCCCTGACTCGCTTGTTCTGCTTCTGTAAAATTCCACTTCAGCTAGGCTCCCCCTCTCCTTTCCTAAGCAAGGTGTAAAAAGAAATCGAGCCCCTCCCTCGGGACCGAGAGATTTTGAGTGCCAGCTCTCTCAGTAGCCGGCAATAAAGGACTCTCAATTGGAACTCAGAGTGTGGTGCTTTCCTTCTCACTTGCTCAGTTATAACACTAAAAACTCACTGGAAAAGGGCAGACTTAGTAGAGAGGCCATGGGATTAAGCATGAGGGCATTATGGAGCCAGAGTTCAAACCCAATTCAACCAGTTATAGGCTGTGGAATATGAAACCAAATGCCTTAACTCTCTGGGCCACAGTCTCTTCATCTGTAAAACAGAGGTGGTAGTAGCAGTACCTGTCTCATAGGGTTGCAGGAATTAACTTATGATATATGTAAAGCCATTAGTATTGGGCCTGGCATATAGTAAGTGTTCAATAAATGACTGCTGGAATTTTATTGCGTGTAGTCTTTCAGGGAATTGGTAAAGGGGACCATTTTTTTAAAGTTTATAAACACATTAAGAAAAGTAGAGGAAGAGAATTCTTTTTTCATCTTAAGTAGGGAATCAAAAAAAAAACCCCATCCGGCTGGAAAATGACGACTTTTAAAGAACTAAATAAAAATAAATCTTAATGTATATTCTCTGTGACATAGAGATAGAGCTATTGCACTGTAATCTGATTTTGTTCTTTCAGCTATGAAGAGAGGAGATGAGGGAGACCATAGAGACAGCCGACTTTGATAGGAGAAAGGCTCCTAGACAGACACCCCAAGGCCTTTCCTTTACTTAGGTTTACTGACACAGGGAGGGGGTCATCTGCCTGCAGCGGGGCCGAAACATGCCACGAATAGCCACAAAAGGCTGGAGACTGTGACTGGCTGTTTGAATGTCATCCTTGCCCCTGGCTCTACCGTGACGTGTGCATAGCTGGAGGTGAGAATATTAACACAAAAACCAGTGGATCCAGAACATGTGGAATGGCCTGGTTTCCAGGGGTCTTCAGGTCACATGGTCACTTGCAGAATTGAATGGAGAGGTGACATTGACTAGGGCTGATGCCCTGTGATTTGGGGAGTTTGGACATAGGGGCTTGAATAACAACTCAAATTGGGGGTGGGGGGGTTGTAAATGGGGAAAGACCACCACAGGAGGAGGTGAGGCAGGCTGACACCATGGCGAGAGGCCAGGAACTGGGGTCTGCAGACACCTGGCTGTATCACTCCTAGCTGGTCTTCACAGCCTTTTAAAATCTGAAGGTGCTTTCATCTTTCCTGGCCCCTTCTACACAAAGGAGAGCTTTTTAAGCCCCAAGGTGTCCTGGGCTGCCCTAGGAAGTTTAGCTCCATGTGTCTGTGGTATCCACTTGTGATTCCTTGGTTTTCCTTCAGGTTAGAGCTGGAACTATCTCTGAAGGCCTGATAGAGGCTGATTTCCCAAGATCCAGAAGCTTCCTTTGTCTGGGCCAGCACCAGGGCTCAGTGCTTTCATAGACTTCTGGTTCAGCCCTACCTGGGTTTCAATAACCAAATTAAAAAAAGACTAAATATAACTTGTAGAAAACCTAGGAGGAAGTGTGCTTACAGTCCTAAACTCTAAAAGATGCAGTCACATCCTCTGAAAACCAGATAATTGATTTGAAAAGACAAGTGTAGACGTATTAGGTTGAAGCACACTCCTTCACTTATTCTTTTTTCCGTTTATTTATTTATTTTTTTTGAGACGGAGTTTCGCTCTTGTTACCCAGGCTGGAGTGCAATGGCGCGATCTCGGCTCACCGCTACCTCCGCCTCCTGGGTTCAGGCAATTCTCCTGCCTCAGCCTCCTGAGTAGCTGGGACTACAGGCACACGCCACCATGCCCAGCTAATTTTTTGTATTTTTAGTAGAGACGGGGTTTCACCATGTTGACCAGGTTGGTCTCGATCTGTTGGTCTCGTGATCCCCCCGCCTCGGCCTCCCAACGTGCTGGGATTACAGGCTTGAGCTACCGCGCCCGGCCTTTTCCATTTATTTTTATACGAACCTCACTGGCTTACTATGAATGGAAGGTGGAGAATTTTCTGTATAGAAGTGTAAGAAGATTCAGAGGTAATCTGCACTCTCAGTGAGTTTCTGTTCTTGATCAGGGATTGGCAAACTATGTCTAGCAGGTCAAATCCTAGCTGCTGACTATGTTTGTAAATTGAGCTTTACTGAAAAACAGCCATGCTCATTTACTTACTGCCATTGTAGCTGTTTCTCCTCTGTAATGACAAAGTGGAGTCGTTTTGATAGACATCGCTTGCGAGGCCTGCAACACTTACTGTTTGGCCCTTTACCTAAAAAGTTTGCTTCAAATGTAGTCAGCAAGATGAACAGATAAAGAAATGATTATATATATACACACACACACATATATACGTATCATCATTTATTGGTATATATATCAATGATGTGTGTATATACGTTATTGATATATATATCAATAATGTTATATATGTATTAATGTTATATTGATATATATATCAACGTATATACACATCATTGAGTGTATATATATATATATATATATATATACACACACATACACACACATATATGTGCTAACCTACCCTGTGTTAGCCTGACGGACTCCATCTTGCTGAGAGCCAGACAGACTCCATCTTAACCTCCACCTCACCCCTCCTGCCATTTCTGCCTTGAGTGCATACCTGGGTCACACGGTGCTGTGTCATGTTGTACTTAGAACCATAGAAACATATAACCGTTGTAACCATATCCTGCTTGACAAGCCCACTTGCTATGTGAATACCCCCTTGATTAATTGTATGGAAAGTATCAAATTACCCCCCTTGGTCACCAGCAATCAAGGGAACTGCTTGTGTCTACCCTCCTTAGTTAATCAACAATCATGGGAGCCTCCTGCCTCCTAGTTACCAGCCTCCTCCCCTAACTTGCTTATTCTGCTTCTGTAAAATTCTGCTTTGCCCCCCTTACCCTGAGCAACATATAAAAGGAAATCACATCCCTTCATCAGGGCCGAGAGATTTTCAGCATGAGCTGGCTCTTGGTCGCCGGCAATAAAGGACTCACAATCGGATCTCACAGAGTGGCTGTTTTCTAACAACTCACTCGGATATAACACATACCCTGTGAGAGAAAGATGATGGAACATTATTCAGCCAGAAAAAGGAAGAAATCCTGCTATCTGCAACAATGTGGATGAATTTTGAGGGCATTATGCTAAGTGAAACAGAGAAATAAAAATATTACATAATCTCACTTCTAAAAAGGTTGAACTAAGAGAAACAGAGTGGAATTATGGTTATCAGGGCCTGGGCATTGAGGGGAAAATGGGGAGACATTCAGAGAGCACAAACTTAAAGTTTTGTACATCTAGTATATAGGGTGGTGACTATAGTTAACAATACTGTATTGTATACATGAAATTTTCTAAGAAATTAGATCTTAAATCTTCTCACCAAAAGCCAAAAGCCAAAAAATAACTAGGTGAGATGATAGATGTGATAACGAACTTAATCATGGGCAAGGTGATAAATGTGTTAACTAACTCAATTTTGGTAATCATTTCACTATATATATATGTGCACACATATACATACATGCACATATACATATATATGTATGTATGTCAGTAGAGTGGGAATAGGAAATGATGAAGTGGCATTTTAGGCCAAGAAAGAGACTATGGAATCAATCCCACCCCTCCACGTGTCTCCTGAAATCCTGAATGACGTGAGACTGCAGAGTGTCTGACATTGTTGTATCAACATCAAATAAGAATATAAAAACTAATCTTTAAGCCAAAGGTTTTATTTGGGAATACACAAATAATAGAATTGCAACGTGGGGTACATGCCAAGACCTGGATGGCCTCTTATTAAGTGCTGAGACCAAATGGAAAGGTTAGGGGAAGAGGATGTTATGCAAGTTGTTTTGAAAGAAAAGTCATTGTATCTGGTGGTGTCTTCCAGGAGCTGGTGAGATCTGATCGGTGAGTGGTAGCATTGCCTAGGTGAAACTTGTCATCCTCAAGTCATAGCAGGCTGTTTCCTTGGATCGGGCTTGCCAGACAGTGGATCAGGTGAATGTTTTTGTCTAAGAGGCCAACTGTCCTTGTGCTGTTAGTTGTCCACGTGGGACACATGTAGCAATCTAAGGCTTGGAAAAATTTCTTGCAACAGTTTTTGTTACTGGGCCAGTTGTGTGCGAGAGCCCTCCTATCATGGCCCTGGCTCCATTTTGCCAGGGTTCAACACACGTGACTCCATTTTGATTCTGACAACTTTCACAGCTGCAACTCTTGTGAGATTCAGAAGGGCCTGGGAGTGACCTATTGAACTGGAGAGGTCTGGTGGGTGGGTGACTTGTGTCATCCTGCCTGGAAAAAAGTCCTCTGATTCACCTTAGCAGTGGATGGCTCTATAAGACCAAGGAGGAGTTTCATATGGGAAAGATCAATATGTTGGACTTAATTCAGCAGTAAGAACAGCTGCTAATGTTCTTATAACGTCTACCACGTGCAAGGGACTGTTAACATCTATTAAATTATTTAAGTTATTTAGTCTTCCAAACAGCCCTGTTAAATGGATGACTATTATTATCATCCCCATTTGACAGAGGGTGAATCTGAAGCAAGAGAAGTAAAATAATTGGCTCCAATTTCCACCACAGTGAAGCAACTGCTGGTATTTGAATGCAGGCAGGGTCAGGATGGTGGGCTTACCTGGTATTCCCAACCACTTCTCTCAGGAAAGGGGCAAGGAGACAGGGCTGAAACAGAGTTGGAGTGTTTCAGTGTGTCTTTACAAGATATGTAGGACTTAGGTGCTATTAATGTTCTCTGTCAGGTCTCCACATGCAAGCCTGGAGCCTGAAAGTCTGAAGTCCTCCTTGCCTGAGCTGATGTCTCCCACCTCCTTCCTGCGTTCGCCATTGTCCCTGATGGTCCAGCGGAGCTTCCCCAGACAAGCCCCTCACCCAACCCTTCCATCCTAACTGTTCTTATGATAATGAAAATACCTCTCACCCAACCCTGCCATTGTAACTGCCCGTATACTCCTTGCCCCAACCCCCCACCACTGTAACTAAACTTACTCTGTAACACCCCTGCCCCCAGAAAACTACCCAAACCTATAAAACCAATGCTCTTTGCTAATGCCCTTTTTGGCCTTAGCCCACCTGCACCCAAGTGAATAAACAGCCATGTTGCTCACACAAAGCCTGTCTGGAAGGTCTCTTCATTCAAAGTGCGTGTTTTTTCAGCATTATCATCTTTGATTTTTGGATTCAGGGTCTTGGACATATTGAATTGTGAAAAATTTCCTGGAAAGCAACATGGTGAGAATATCCAGATCAAAATAGAATTTCCAAGAGCTGATTGGCTGAAGGGCTTTGAGTGGGAGAAAATGACCGCTGGGTGTGATAATGATGCGTGCTGCTCGTAATGGCAATGAAAGTAGAGTTGAATCAAGAAGTTGCAGATTTAGCTGTAACGTGGATGGTAGTTCGTTTCATCTAAACCAGTGGTTCTAAGACTTTAGCACACAGCAGCATCACCTAGAGGGTTAAACACAGGAGTGGGTCCTCACCCTGGGGTTTTTGTTTCTGTACAGTTCTGGTGTGGATACAGTGGTGCTGATGCTTTTGGTCTGGGAACCACACCTTGAGACCATGGATCTAAGCCATTGGAGGACTGAATGTGAGACAAGATATTACCTTTTTCCATGGTGTAGACTCATATCATGAAATGTGTAAATTCTAAAATCTTGCCAACAGGAGACCAAAATTATTGTCACATTTGTGGGGGGTCCAGCAAAGATATAATGTTACCTCCAGGGGGTGCCATTCCCTTGTGAATGACTGCCCTAGAAGTTGTGTATAAGGCATATGGCCACACAAAGGCCCTGAAGTCTGGTAGTGGAAATAAATTTTTCTTTGTGATATCTGACATTACTTTTAAACATGGAAAGTCCTCCTCCCTTTCCTCTGAGTCTCCTACCCATAATCCAAAGATCAAATTTATAATCACCTATGTTTCCTTTTTTTTTAAAAAAAATGAATTATTTTTTAATACTTTCATTGTAAAGTCCAATTCTGTTCATATATTCTGCGAGGTGATCATTAAAACAGCATATTGTTTTCCTAAGTGACAATTTTCTCAAAACTTTTTGAATACACATTTGTTTTTCCTTCACTGATTGCGGTATTTTTCTCATACGCTGTGTGTGTTTATTTGTATTCTGAGACTATTTATACTGCCTTTGTTGTGCTAGCTCATTAATTCCACAAATGCTTACTATGTTCCAAGCACTGCAGAGATATCAGTATGAATGAAACGGTCATGAATAAAACACACGTGGACTCTGCTGCATGAAATTTACCATCTCGGTAGTCTGTTTCATTGTTCATTTGTCTATTCCAGCTCAAGCATCACATTAGTTTTAATTGTCGTAGCTGGAAAACACATTTTAAGTTGCTGCAGGGAAATTACTCCTTAATGCCATTAAAAAAATCTTAGTGATTTTGTCTATTCTTCTTAATATACCTTGGAATAACTTTTTCAAAAATTCAAAGAGGGGAAGAAAACTGTGACTTTCGTTGGAATTGTCTTGCAGTATATTTTTGGGAAGGATCAATAACTTTTATTATACAGTTTTTCTCTCCCAAACCACTTTGGTTTGCCTTTATTTACTGGGGTCTTCTTTCATATCCCTGTATTATAAAATAACATGCAAGTACTAAAATGTGTTAGTCTGCTGAATTTTATGAAATGCTTTTTATCAGCAACATGAGAAATTTCAAGAAACTGTAGAACTGATCCCACAGGGAAGAAATGAGGATTGAGGTTATCAAATAGAGAAGTGAAATTGCAGAGAAAGAATTACTCTAAAGCAAAAACAGTGAGGAAATTTTCATATTATCAAGGTAGTCACATAAAATAATGAATGGTCCACATGCATAAACCACATCAAATGCTAGTCTATGTATTTTTCTTGAAGTGTCTGTTTCTCCTGCAAAGTACATTGCCGTATAAGTTTTAAACAATGAGGACATCCGTCCCTGAGCAACATTCCTGACACTGTGACGACAATGACTGGCTTTTGCTGGGCTCGTTTGCAAACATTTGTTGAGACTTGCAGACTGACAACCTAAATGGACAATATGTCCATAATCTGCATGCCAACTGGCACGCGCTGATAACATCTGACAGGCCTCTCTCATCAAAGCCTTTGTACACCTAAGTAATACAACTGTACTCTCTTTACCCTTTGAAAAATCTGAGATACTGGTTTGTCCCTTTGAGTTATAGATGGTGATCTCATAAGAGCTTTGAGACAGCCGTTCAGCCTCATTGACGCAAATGCTTATGGCAGACAATACATGCTTCAAATCTGTGGTCATCTTCCTCTTTTCTTTTCCTGCTTGCTAATGCCAAGCTGATGATGCAGAATATAGACCTCATTTGCAATTTTAGTATTAGAGTTTGGAAAACACATAGAGATCTGGGTGAACAAAGAATGTGCGGTAATCACCTTTTACCTGTCCTTCATTGTTTGGGAATGAGCTCCTATTGTGTTAAAAATGAACTGCTGGTCAGTGCGTTGGAAAAAATTTATCCCAAGAACTTATTATTGGTTTGGGGATTGTTTTTTATTATCATGGCTTCTATGCTCGCTGCTATTATTGGGCTAGATGCTCATTTCCTTTAACTGTGATGTTTAAAAATACCCTAGCTTAGGTGAATATAATCGTTACCATTTATAACAGTAGATTAGATTCTCATCTTCTCTGTCTCTGGTGTAACAGAGAGATAATAAATCAATGAGATGATAGAATTTAATAAGGTCCAAAGTATATCATTGTTAGTGATGCATTTTCAAATGATGATCTATGAAATTTGAAAATAAGAAGGGAGAAACTTTCTTTTTCTCTTCTATTAAGGATGACTGACACGCTTGGAAAGAAAAAATCTCAAGTCAGGTGCATGTAAAAGGAAAATAATTTGTTCGTATTTATCTTTTTATTAAGAGAGAAAGAAATATAAACAGCTAAAGATGTTCTTTTAAAGTTAAAATTTGGGGGTTTCAAATTTCATTGGCTACCTACATTAAATTAAGAGAAATAAGTAATTTAATGTGAGAGTAACAGGAGGCTCCAGGATTGGGGGAGGGAGATGAATGGTATGGGGGAGGGCAAGAGACAGGCAGACAGAGCTAGAAGAGAGGCGAGAAGGCGGTGGTGAAAAACAGAAATGAAAGAAAGAATAGAGAAATCAAATATTTAAAAATAGAGCCAAGACAAAGAAAGGAACAGATAGGAGGATGGCTTGAGCTCAGGAGTTTAAGCTTGAGCTCAGGAGTATTTCAGCCTGAGCAACATAGCAAGACCTCATCTCTACTAAAAATAAAAATAAAAATTAACTGAGTGCAATGGTGAGTACCTATAGTGCCAGCTACTTGGGAGTCTGAGGCGGGAGGATGACTTGAGCCTTGGAGGTTGCAGCTGCGGTGAGATGAGATCATGTCACTGCACTCCAGCCTGGTGACAGAGTAAGACCCTGTCTCAAAAACAAAGGGCAATAATAGAAAGAAGGTGACAAAGACACATGATGAGGCAGGAAGAGGTAGAAGGAAGCAAGTGCAGCTGGAACTGAAACGAGAAAAGCTCAGAGGGCTTTCCAAGCTCTGACCATCTTGGCTTGAGTTCCTTCCTCGTTTCCCTGGACATCTGAACCAGTTACTACCCCAGTCACTGCAGCCCAGCCTGGGAGTGCCTTCTTTCTATCGCTGGGGCTGTAGACTCCCGGTTGCTTATTGCTACAACCTTGGTCTTCATGATCGATGCTGACCCCACCTGGCTCGGCGGCCATTAGTCTTGCCTCTTGCCCAGCCCTGACTTTGTGCTTCATTTCTTGTAACTGGGTCTATCTGTTCTTTTTTTTTTTTTTCAATGCCAAGCATCTGTCTTTGGTAATCTCCCTCCTACTTTTTTCTTTCTAAATACAAAATGTTGCCTTTCTTCTATAAGCACCTCTTCTGAGCCTGGGAGCCTTTGACTGCAGCCCAAGCCCCGTGTCCTATACCCAGTGCTCTCATGATGGGAACCATCATCGGGTTGGATGGCCAAATCCCCCATTCCTGATGTTCTGCCCACATTGTGATACGCCCTGCTGAACCTCTCATGAAGACTGCCTGAAACTCTACATTATGGATATTTTGGCTGAATTCCTCGCTTGAATGGTCTGATTTGGTTACCAGATAACAGGATCATGTCAAGGTCCAAAAATATGCCAATCTTTCCTTTGAAATGTTATAATAATATATTATTTTCTGCCTTGAGATTTTTTTTTTTTTCAAATGTCAAAGGGGCAGGGACACATGTTTTCAATAAACTTCACATTGAGATTCTGGAAATAATTATGAGAAAACAATAGAGGTTTTAGAAATGTAACTGGAAAATGTAAAAATGCCATGAACTTTCCAGTTATTCCCAGAAGTCTCTTTGACACTGAAATGATGCCAAAATATATCACCTTTGTTCTTGAGAAAATTAGGGCTCTCTCATTCCATAACGCTCAAAATTGTACTTGCAGGTAATATCGCAGGCTACTTGCTAGAGACTGGATGAAATTTAACAGATGCTGATCTGAAGTCATTTCATGTCTGACTTGTGAGTGCAAGTGTTGGACACAGTTGAGGTTTTCTTTCTAATTAAAAATTAGGCTTTTTTCTTTCACAATCAAGTAGCTGTCTGTAGTGGTTCACATCCTTGCTGATAGTAGCATTTTTCCATTGATCCTAATTTTTGGAAGGTTGTGGTGGAAAGAGAGAACTTAAATTTTCATTAGAATTCACCTTTTCATAATAAAGATGTGATATAAAACCTTGTTTGGTTTGTTTCAGAAACTTTTGTTCCTCTGCTCATCCTGTCACTTATGAGCATGTTCTGAGTGACTTTGTGGGAAGAGGACATGGCATTAGCATTTCACCTGGTATCTTAGGAACAAACAAAAAATAAAACAACCAACCAACCAAGAATGTCTTAAGAATACTTGACAAAACTTAAATCTTTGGCTGAATCTATATAATGATGTTAGAATGACCTGGTAGGAGAAAACGTGCAGGGCCGAAAGTGTTTCATAGTTCAAGCTGCTGCATGAACGGCATGGGCAGGTCCCCTGAATGACACACTGGAGCCATGTATGGCTCCGGGTCCACTGAACTGGTCTCATCTTCCCCTTATGAGAGCTATGGTATGACAGGTGCAGTGTGTGTACTTGTATGGGATGATGACGGGTTGGGGTGACCACAGGTGGAGGGGGCAGGAGGAAGCAGAAAGCCTTGGTCTTATGCACACTGCACCCAAAGCATAGAAGCCACAGGTAGTCATTATTATGACATTTGGCAAGTGCAATTGATGGGCATATCATAGTAACAGGTAACCCAGGTGGCAGGTGAGGGTGACTATCAGGTGGGCACAGTGACTCTGGGAGACAGAGCCATTAACCTCTAAATTGGACTTAGAGAAGATGCCAGGGGTGGATTGCGTATGGAGTAATTTACCTAAACAAAATTACTATTTACTTATGACCATGGGGGCTGTTATGGGTTGAATTTTGTACCCTCTAAACTACGTAGAATTGCAAACCCAAGTATCCGTGAATGTGACTGTGTCTGGAAATAAGGTCTTTGAAGATGAAATTAGTTAAGGTGAGGCTATTAGGATGGGACCTAATCCAACATGACTGAACAAAGAGGAAAATTTATACACAGAGTTGGAAGCACACACAGGGAAATACCACGTGAGGATAAAAGCAGAGATTGGGGTGATGCATCTACAACCCCCAAAGAATCTGCTAGCATATTACCAGAGGCCAGGAGAGAGCCCTGGAACAGATTTCCCCTCAGAGTCCTCGAAAGGAAGAACCCTGCCAACATCTTGTTCTTCGACTTCCCTCAGCACTGTGAGGCAGTCAGCTTCTATTGCTGCGAGCCATTCAATTTCTGATACTGTTATGGCACCATAAAGAATGAATACAGGTGCTGGTGGATTGAAGGTTTGGTTAGCAGAAAATATTAGCACTAGGAGAAACCCTAGAAATTGTATGGTTGGCATAGGAAACACTACTGTACCGTATACTTAAAATGTGCCAAGAAGGTAGACCCTAAGTGTTCTCACCACAAAAAAAAGGGCAGCAGCAAAACTGTGTGATGAATGTGTTAATTATCTTTATTGTGGTGCTAATTTCATGGTGTTTATGTGTACGAAATCATCAGGTTGTACACCTTAAATACACTCATGCACCATATAATGTTTCAGATATGTGACAGACCAGATATTTGAGAGTTGCCCTATAAGATTATAATGCCATATGTTCACTGTACCTTTTCTATGCTTAGATATGTTTAGATATACAAATACTTACCATTGTGTTACAATTTTCCAACAGGATGTGCCATGTCCAGTGAATGATCTTTTGTGCTGTGTAATATTAAGAATATTTAATGGTGGTCAATATTCATGTGGAAAAGGTGTAGACAGTGAGTATATGCCAATAGTATTCAGTACAGTGACATGCTGTACAGGCTTGTAGCCGAGGAGCAATGGGCTGGGTGTATAGCAGGTATTACCATCTAAGTTTGTGTAAGTAGACTCTACAATGTTTGTAAAATGATGAAATAGCCTAATATTGTATTTCTCAGAATATATCACTGTCATTAAGAGATGCATGACTCTATGTACAATTTTTTTAAAAATTGTGTAGTTGAGATCTTTTATATTACCAATGAATAGCTGAGGCCCAGAAAGGTCAAATGAATTAATTGCTTGATATCACCTAACTAGCACGTGGCAAGGAGGAGACTAAATCCTCTCTGTCTTTTGACTCTTGGTCTGTGCTCTTCCTGTACTTTATACTCTTGCGCAAAATTACCACGTAGCATGCACATAGAAACACAGATTAGAAATACACATAAGAAAATAATCATGTAACTTAGAAAATGAGTTTTGAAAAAGTGTAGCCCTACTCCTTATCTAAAATTAATCTAACTGAAATCGCATTTTAGATTAACTTTGCTACTTGAAAAATGCTAAGTGGTTGCCAGAGAGCAGTGAAATTTGTTCCTCTAAATGTGCTGCTCAGGGCAAGTAGCCCATCATTGTTTTCCAAACCGCTAGTCATTAACATTTACGTGTGCCTGTGGAGTATCTGGCTCTCCTAGTGTCTCAGCTCTCTGTATAGTCAGAGGGGTGGCTGCTTTCTGCCTCTGGTCACAAGACAATGCCCCATTGCGCTTGCTTATCCAGAAGATCAATCAGGAAGAGAAACAACCCATGGGCTGAGCTGCAGTTTCTGTTGGCTGACTTAGTTTAGACGTATTTCTCCTCTCCCTCAAATCCCTCCGACTAAGTCAAAGATGTTTGCAAATGTCCGAAGGAATATTCTAGTAGCGAGGATCTGGGATTTTCACAGCCATAGCTCAAGATAAAGCCCAACTGCAAAATGAATGAATGAATAGATAAATAAATGGATTGTATTTTGTACAATGTCTTAAAAGGTAAGAGTTGCAAATGAAAATGCCTTCCAAGCCATGAAATATAAAGTAATTGCAAGTTTGCATATTAAATATGTTGGCATATTCTTCACTTCCTCAAGGAAATATGCTCAATCACATTTTTAAAAATCATAAATATATATTTTAACTTTGTATTGGAGTTTAACACACATTCAGAAAAGTGTAAAAACCATAATAATCAACTTGATGATATTTTACAAAATAAAAATAATGAAAAAGCAACAGATTAAGAAGCATAACATCACTAGCACCATAGAGGCCCCCTCCTAGACATCACCTTTCCCAGGGATAACCAGCATTGTGATTTTTAACGCTGTACATCCATTTATTTTGTCTGTTTTGAAAACTAACACAAGAGGAATGATACAGTATATATTATTTCACATCTGGTTTTCTCAACATTGTGTTGTGTATTTGTGATTTCTTCATTCACATTGCTGAATAGTATGCCACTGCGTCATCACAATTCAGTACATTTCGGGTTTTTTTGCTATTACAATCAGTGCTGCTATAAACATTCTTATACATATCCTTTGGAGGACAGATGTATGCATTTTTGGTGAGTGCTTCTGAAGAGTGGAAAGCCGGGTCATTGGGGATGCATGTGTTCAACTTCAGTAGCAACAACAAAACAATTTTCTAAAGTGATTGTAGAAATTTACACTCCAACTGGCAGTGTAGTAAACTCTTCAATCCTTTAGGCCAACTTTTGGGATTTTTCAGTTAGTTTCTTTTTAACCACTCTGGTGTATGTGTAATGGTATCACATTTATGATTTTGATATGCTAATTTTAATGACGATTAATAAAATCAAGCATCTTCTCATATATGTATTGATCCTGTAGATCCTCAATGTGAAGGGCATGCTCAGGTGTTCTGCCTATTTTTCTCTAGGGATTTTACCATTGTAACATTAATTTGTAGTTTTAAAATATATGATTATATATTTTGTGGCTTGTTTCTTCACTTGGTTAATCACATATTTTGATAAACAAATATTCTTAATTTAAATATAGTCCAATTTATCCATCACATCTGAGTCTATGCTGTGAGGTGACGCAGGGCAGAAAGACCAAGTTAGTATGAGAATTGTAACTTTCAGATCCATCCACTACCTTCTGAGAAGAGTGGAGGGGAGGGAGCTGGAGATTGAGCTCAGTAAAACCTCTTGACAAGGAGACTCAGAGAGCTTCCCGGTGGGTGAACACACGAAGGTGCTTGGAAGGTCGTGCATCCGAGAGGGTAAGGAGGCTCTCTCCGTGTGACCCCCCTTGCTCTGTACCTTGCCCTGTGCGTTGCTTCCATTTGGCTCTTTCTGCCTTGTATCCTTATAAACCAGTAAATGTAAGTTAAAAAATGTAAATACATGACTTCTGTGAGCAGCTTTAGCAAATTATTAAACCTGAGGGGGGTGGTGGAAACACTTGCTTTACAGCTGATGAATCAGAAGTGCAGGTGGCTCAGGGCTTGAAACTGGTGTCTGAAGTAGGAGCAGTCTTGTTCTACTGAGCCCCTTACTTTATGGAGTCTGTATTAACTCTGGGTAGTGTCAGAATTGGACTGAATTTCTGAACACCAGGTTGGTATCTGGAGAATCAGAGAATAGGTTGTTGGTGTCAGAGAAAACACCCCAGAGAACAAAATTATCATGATTTCCTTGTCTTTTAAATATTTGTAAGAGCTGAGAGGGTGCTTCTTTTGTAAATTTATGTTATTGGCAATTTATGTTCTCTCTCTTTTTTCTGATCAGTCTTCTTAAAAGTTCATCCATTTTATTAATTCTTTGATTAAAAAACTTTCATACTGTTGATTTTCTGTACTGAATAATTGTATTTTATTCCATTAATTTTTATTTCTAATTTATTGTTTTCTTCCTCCTGCCTTACTTTTTATTACAGGGGAGAGTTAATTTGTTGAATTTTAATCTAAATTCCTAAATTGAATTTTCAAATAACTAATTTTCAATCTTTCTTCTTTTCTAATTTGTTAATCAAATGTTATAATTTTTTTCTCTAAGGATGACTTTAACTGTACTCCACAAATATTATTATAACTGATATTTACTCCACAAATATTATTATAACTGATATTTACTAACGTTAACAAATTATGGGTTTTTTCATTACAATTTATTCTTGATCCATGGAACAATTTAAGATTATATTGCTTCATTGCCAGACACATGAGGATGATTTCATCAGAGCATATTCTCAGGATAATTTCAGTTCTTGGAAAGTTTGCTTGGATTTGCATTATAGCCAAGCATGTTGCTAATCTTTTTTTTTTATTTATTGGTAATAGAATTTATTCAAATGTGCCTTAATATAGGCGCTGGGGTTGCCCATGGTGCTCTTGATATATAAGGCCCGGACATTCTGCCAGTTTTTCTTGAGCAATGACACCAAGAAATTGACAGCCAGGTGAATGTTATACACAAGCTCATCGTCTGTCATCTTCACGTGACCAACAGCCACAGCCAGACATAACACCTTCTTCATTTGGAACTTGATCGTGGACTTCACCTCATCCACTCTGGCCACCATGTTTTCATTGTGTGTGAGCAGGGAGGGGAACTTTCCTGCCTTTTTTAGGCCTGGGCCAAGGATTCGTGGAATCTGCTTGATCAGAGACTCTGAGGCCAAAAATGCATCATACTTCTTGGCCAGCTTCTTGACGTTGAGTTTTTTCAGTGCCTCGATGTCCATGTGGGGGATATCCACGGCCTTGGCCTGGTCACAGTGCTGCTGGTCCCCCAGGACACACACGGAGAACTCGGGGCGAGGAGTGGACTTAAGCCTGACGGTGCCCGAGAAACTCTTGTCCTTCTGGGGGTCATAGTTCTTCAAAGTGATCTGCAACTCCACCGTCTCCAGGAACTTGCGGCGCTCGCGCTGGTTCCCGTGCAGGACTTCCCGCACCGCCTCGTACAGGGTGTCGCCAGAGACTTTGCTGCTCGTGGCTTCTCCTACCGCGCTAACCGGAAAAGAGCGCATGTTGCTAATCTTGGTAAATGTTACATATGCATGTGAAAAGCATGCATCTTCTACAACTGATACGCATAGTATTCTATATGTGCCAAATGTGTCAGGTGTGTTCACCATGCTGTTGTCATAGCCATTATCTTACTATAATGTTTCTGTTGAAGTCATAACATTTTTTTATGTTTTTATTTTAATTTCTATTACCTTGTCTGTCATATCTTATTTTACTGTTATTTAATGCTTACCCTATTAAATCTAATAAAATTACTTTCATCAATTCTCTGATCATGCTGAAATCTTCCGAAAGTTTAACTCAATTCATCTACATTCTGCCTCTCACATTATTGCTATCATATATTTTTATTACATTTCGAACTCTGTAGCACGTTACCATTATTGTTTTGTGCAGTCAACTTTAATTTATATTTATCTATATATTTACAACTTTCTACTGAGACAGCCGAGTGCCTGAGCAGATAAAAAGGAAGGGGTCCCAGGGAATGTCCGACCCATCCCACCAGTGTTTACATCAGTTGCTTCTGTACAGATGAGGAAACCTGCCCAGGGCTTGTCACGGTATACCCACTGTGGACTGAAGCCCGACCTGCACACTGAGGGAAGTGAGTGGAGCCATCGGGAATTCGTGCCTTTAGCAGGGGAGGAGCCTGTTCTTTTCAGCATTGTGAGGTGACCAGGGAATCAGTCTGTGAGGAGCAGGGCCTGTTAGCAGACTCCACCTCAATTTCCTGAGAGTTTTTTTCCCCCCTTTTCGCTCAATACATTTCTCTAATCACCTTTCAATGTGTCTGCGCACCTAATCTTTCCTGGTCGTATGACAAGAACGTGGTTTTTTCTACATCACTGCCACCGTTTATTCCTTCCTGTATTTCGTGCTTCTGTTTAGAAGTGTTTTCCTTTAGCCGGAGGCATTCCCTTTTAGTAATGATTTTAGGAAAGTCTGCTGGTGGTGAATTTTCTTAATTTTTGTTTGTCCGCAGCATATTCGTTTTACCTGTTTCTGAAGGGTATTTTCAAGGGCTGCATTATTCTACTTCGGCACTTTGTTTTTGGCACCATAAATATACACTTTTACCGTCTTTTACCTGCATCGTTGCTGTCGATAAACCAGCCCAATCTTACTTTCTTTCTTCGAAGCTGCCTGTTTTCTCTGGCGATCTGCAAGAGTCTTCTGTCTCTGAAGTTTAACAGTTTTGCTATGATGTGAGTAGTTTGTGTAGATTTAAGGGGCGTTTTCTTTTTTTTTGTCTGCTTGATGTTTATGGACCTTCTTGAATAAGTGGGTTGACAGCCTCCATCCAATTTTGAAGATTCCAGGCAAACATCTCAATTCCCCCTCATTCTTTGTATTATCATTTGAGCACACTAATCATGTGTATTTTAGAATTTTTAAATGTCTCTCATCTATTACGTATGTTGTTTTATATATTTTAACATGTTTTTATCCTTTAGTTTATGTATTTTCTATCTTCCTGTTCAGTAATATCATTTATTCAGGTGAGCCCAATCTAATAAACTTATCTATTGAGTTGTCAATTTTAGATACAATTTCTTTTTTTTTTTGAGACAGAATCTTGCTCTGTCGCCAGGAGCCAGGCTGGAGTGCAGTGGCGCAATCTCAGCTCACTGCAATCTCTGCCTCCTCGGCCCAAGCAATTTTCCTGCCTCAGCCTCCCAAGTAGCTGGGACTACAGGCACATGCCACCATGCCCAGCTAATTTTTGTGTTTTTTAGTAGAGATGGGGTTTCACCATGTTTAGATATAATTTCTAATTGATTTTAAAAATATAGTCTACTTTTTTCTAAAATTCTCTTATCTTTTTTGTACATTAGCTGTTTTAAAGTGTGTGTCTGATAAATCTAATGCCCAGATCATGGTTGGCTTGTTTCTATATCCTATTTTATTTTCTTAACGCTTCTTGGTATGTG